CAAAATCAATTCCTTCTTCTTGAGCATATCCTTTAGCAACTAATCTGGATTTATTTCTTACAACAACACCTTTATCATCCAACTTATTTTTAAAAATCCACTTTGTGCCAATGATAGGTTGATTTTGAGGTCTATCAACAAGTGTCCAAACTTCATTTCTCTCAAATTGATTAAGTTCCTCTTGCATTGCCAAAATCCAGTTTTCATCCTTTAAAGCATCATTGACATTTTTGGGTTCAAAAAGAGAAACTAAAGCAAAATTGTCAATCAATTTTCTAGATGAGGAACGAGTGTTTACCTTCTCGGATGGATCACCAATTATAAGATCTTTTGGATGATTTTGGCTGAATTTCCAAGCCTTGGGAAGATCTTTGAGTGGATCATCATTTTTGTCTTCATCTTCCACTTCTTGATCATTATGAACTTCATTTTCCATTTCAGTTGCTGCTAGTTTAGAACTTCCTTCATTTCCAATTGATAGCTTTTCCATTCCTTCTCGAACACCTACATCATCATCCTCACACAAACTTTTGGAATTATCATCATTGGTTTCATCAAATGTTATATGTATAGTTTCTTCAATCACAAGAGTCCTTCTATTAAAAACTCTATATCCTCTTTTATTTTCACAATAACCCAAAAATATTCCTTCATCAGATTTTTTATCAAACTTACCAAGATATTCCTTTAGATTCAAAATAAAGCATTTACAACCAAATACTTTGAAATAACCAACCGTAAGTTTCTTATCAAAAATCAGTTCATAAGGAGTTTTCTTCAAAATAGGTCTCAAGAGAATTCTGTTCATCACATAACATGCGGTGTTTACCGCTTCAACCCAAAGATATTTAGGCAACCTACATTCATTCAACATAGTTCTAGCAGCCTCTTGGAGAGTCCTGTTTTTCCTTTTTACAACACCATTTTGCTGTGGAGTCCTTGCAATAGAAAACTCATGTGTTATACCATTATGATCACAAAATTCTGGAAAACCACAATACTTGAATTCCGTCCCATTATCACTTCTAATCCTAACAATTTTTAACCCAAGCAGATTTTGCACTTTAGCAAACATTGAAGTAAAATTTTTGAAGGCATCATCTTTATGAGCAAGAAATATCACCCAAGTGTATCTAGAATAATCATCAACAATTACAAAACAATATTTCTTACCTCCCAAGCTAGTGATTTGAATGGGACCAAATAAATCAAGATGCAAGAGTTCCAAAGGTTTTGAAGTAGATACACACATTTTTGGTTTAAAAGAAATTTTTGTTTGCTTCCCAAATTGACATGCATCACATATTTTGTCCTTATCAAAACTGATTTTTGGCAAGCCTCTAACCAACTCCTTTTTCGAAATTTCCTTTAGTAAATCCATATTAAAATGACAAAGTCTTCTATGCAATAACCAAGGATCTTCATTTGAAGCTTTAAGACATTTTAAGTTAGAAGAATCAACTTTATCAAGAATCACAATATATATGTCATTAAACCTCTTCCCTTTGAACACAACATTATATTTGGAATCAAGTACAATGCATTCATGCTTTTTAAACAACACATACAAGTCTTTATCACACAATTGATTAACACTAAGCAAGTTATAACCTAAGTTATCAACCAAGAGCACATTATGAACAAAAGTTTCACCATCCTTACCAACATCACCTATTCCAATTGTCTTAGCTTTCACATCATCACCAAATGTTACCTTTCCACTTGATTTTGATTTCAGCTTTATGAACAAGGAAGGATCACCGGTCATGTGCCTTGAGCAGCCGCTATCAATAAACCATTTTGACTTGTTTGATCCTTTAACTTGAAAAGATAACGTGTTTGGTACCCTTTTTAATTTTTGGGTTCATAATAGTTAGCATTGTATCTAACTAACCACATGCACTTCATCCCTTTGTTCAGATTTCTTTTCACATAGCAATTACCTTTCAAATGCCCTCTTTGACAACAAAAATCACACATAATGGAAGAGTCCTTAACATGTACTGGTTTGACATATCTCAATCCACCTCTTCTATATGTTGTGAAACCATGTGCAATTTTGTTGTGTGCAAATGTTCTTTGAAAAGTAGTAGGATGTGTAGATAACATGTTCCTTTTGGTAAACTCCTGCTTTCTTGCTTTCAAAGTCTCATCCAAGTTGTCCATTCTTTTTTTCAAATCACCATGTCTTTCCTTCAGCATTTCACAAATATTTGTCTTTCTATCAAGCTCATCTTGAACATTACATCCGACTCTTACTAGACTTTCATTGTCGGTCTTTAGTTGTTTATTTTGTTGAAAAAGACTTGCATTTTCTTGAATGAGAAAAGCCATTTTCTGTTTTAACTGCTTGTTTTTATCATAAGATTCCTTCAAGGCATTATGCAGTTTTTCAACAAAAGATTCAATATCATCATCTTCATCATTATCACTTTCAGATTGAGAGTGTGGGGAAGTTACCTCATTATTTCCAATAGCCATGAAGGCCATTTGAGCTGATTCTTCCTCTTCTTCAATTTCCCCTTCGGAGTTGCATTCATTCCAAGTAATCTGAAAGTTGTTGAATCTTGGCTTCCGATCAGCTTTTCCATCTTTCATCTTCTTTATGGGGCATTCGTTTGCATAGTGTCCAGGCTGTCCACATTCGAAGCATTTGCCCAACTGTTTCTTGTTGAAATCTTGTTTTCCTTTGTACTTTGTGATAGATGGCTGATTCTGGAATTGATTGCTAGGTCCTCCCCTTCTAAACTTTCTTTTATTCAAGATTCTCTTGAAGCCTCTGGTGATGAGAGCAAGATCATTATCATCATCATCTGAGTCTTCATCATCCAAGTGAGCTGTATCATCTTCACCTTGAGTAGTCTTTAGAGCAATGTTTCTCTTTGCTCTAGCATCCTCTTCCTCCTACACTTTAGATTTCAGTTTCAACTCATAAGAGATTAGTGAGTTAATGATAGATTCAATAGGCACAGAACTTAAATCCTTAGATTCCTCTATTGCAGTCACTTTATTTTCCCATTCTTTGCCCAAAGCATTGAGAATTTTCCTGTTCTTCTCTCCCAAGGTGTACTCTTTGCCCAACGCCTCGAGATCTTTGATCAAGTCAGTGAACCTGCAATACATTTTGTCAATATCCTCAAGAGGTTCAATTTTAAATGATTCATATTTCGTGACCAAGATGGCTTTTTTCTGTTCTTTCACATTGTCACCACCCTCATGGATTTCTCTTAGTTTATCCCACATTTCTTTAGCCGATTTGCAGCCTTTTACTCTGATTGATTCATTTGAATCTAGGGCACTATAAATAACATTCATGGCCTTGGCATTCAATGTGAGGTTAGTTCTATCTTGAGCATTCATTTCAGCTCTTGTTTTTGGCCGAAGCAACCCTGTATCTGTATCAAGAAAGTTAGCTTCATGCGGTCCTTCACTCACAATAAACCATAGTTCAATATCAATAGATTACAAAAAGATAATCATCCGTTCTTTCCAACTAATATATTTAGAGCCACTGAACATGGGAGGCCTAGTAACAGATTGCCCCTCAACAAACATAGCATGACTGGTTGTCATCTTTACTCCAAACCGTTAGAGCTTAATCTCAAGGAAACCAAACTCTGATACCAATTGTAAGTCCCAAAGACAACCAAGAGGGGGGGGTGAATTGGGTTGATTAAAATCTTAACCAAATAATGCACTTTTTCTTTAATAAAAATTTACCTTCTTTTCTAATAATGATCAACCAAGTAGATTAGAAGACAAGAGCAATATAGATCAGAAAAACAAGGATAGATAAGCAATGAGAATTTTATTAAACAGAAAAGTAAGATAGGGAATCAAACCAAGTGTCTACCAAGCTAACCTCAAGCTTGAAGACCAAATACAAGGAAGAGCAGTTTCTCTTTGATGAAAGAAGATCAACTAGATGTACAATGGAGGGAGCACTTCCTCCTTGCCCTAAGCCTCACTTAGTCAAGCTAGGAAGTTTTACAATCACTCAGAAAACCCTCAACAAAGCTACACTAAAGATCCTTTCAACCACAAAAGAAATGCTCACCAGAAATTCACACCACTTTAAAACAAATCTAGCTTTGGAGACTATTTTCTAGCTAAAATATCTCTTGAGATCTTGTAAACAAAGTGTGCAAAAGTCCCTGCTTGGTTCTGACCAGTTTGATTTTAAAGGGAACCAGAAATGGGTTTCATCAATACTTCCAACGGATAGAAGGCAGCTGAAGAGTCAATTAGGCGTTGGGGCTGTCGGACGTCCGACGATCGAATCATCGTCCGAACCAATCGTCCGATGATAGCCAAGTTGAGGTTCGGACGTCCGATGAGTTTTTTGTCGTCCGACAGCACAGCGTCTGACCTTGGGCCGAGAGCTAGCAAGTTAACTTGGAATTTTTCGGACGTCCGATGCGGTTGATGAGCGTCCGATCCTTCCGGACGTCCGATGCTTCCATGTGAGCGTCCGACGGTGCTTCCTTCCTGATGTTCTTTATCTTTTCGGACGTCCGACAGTTTCCTTTCGGCCGTCCGACCTGCTTGTCCTGTTTTTGCTTCTCATTTTGGTTGTTTTGCATTTCATGACATATTTGAACCTGTTTCTTGGATAGACAAAAACACTTGTATTTGAAAAAGGTTAGACAAATATTTCAAAGTACCAAGAATGACAAACTAGACATACTTAAAAGACAATATCTTTGATCGAAACAAAACAATGACTAAATTCATTCATATTATTCCAATCTTGTTTGCCACATCCAAAGCAACGTAGTCAGGAGATAAACGAACATATGCTTTCTTTGTTCCAACAGACCTGATCAAAGTGTTCACTTTCTTGGTCTGTATAAACAAACTTTTGTGATCATCAAAACCAAGAATAACATTGTTGTGTTTCTGATCCTGTTTATGATAGTAAAGTATAAATCGGATGGAAGATCTTCAAAATTAGTTTGACTGGATGGTTTTGTTGTATCCCTTTCACACATCACAGGTCTCCAAGCTCAATGCCTGTGTGGATAAATTCTAAAGGAGACAAGCATAAATCCTACTGGATGGCTAATCCAATACCACAGGGACCAACTGAGATGGTCTTCAAGTTACTTTATTATCTGCTTTGGCCGTTTTCGGTTTGTACTCATATTAGGCTTTGTTATTTTCATTTTTTTTTGTTAAGCATATGTTTTGGTTTCTTTAAAGGTTTAATTTATATAGGTAACTTAATATTGATGCATTTTGCTGCTATATCTGTAGTCCTGGAAATCGCATGAAGACTCAAAGCCACTTATGATCCCCCTGGAGTAGTTCTGAATACTCCCCTTCTATTTGCCTTTCCCGTGACTCTCTTCCTTTCTCCCCTCCCCCAGCTCTGTTTATTTGAGAAATTTTGCATATGGCTCTTGTGCAATTATCTGAATTTGCAACGTTAACCTGTGTTAAGGTGCTCAATATTTGGTAGTAATTAATATCATTTTGTTTTAGCAAATGGTCTATCTCTGTTCCAAAATTTGAAATTGGAGAAATGGTTCTGCGTTTCATTCGTTTTCTCTTCTTTTCCTGTTTGTGCATTTGCACAAGACTGTCATTTCATGTGTATGGATTTCCCTTCTGTTTTGTGGGAGGCGTATATGCAGTAAATGAAACTTTTTGTATGGGATTTGTTAAGGCATGGTTATAATAAGAACAGTAATTGAGAATTCAAGTCAGATTATGGTTGTAGTTTCAATAGGTGTCACGATTGATGTCTGCAGCAATTATCTCATCTTTTTTTTTTGTTGCTGGGACAGAGATCTGCTCTGGAAGTTGTGAGATTGCTGGCGCAGAAGACCAAAGAAGTTGAATTTGAATTTTTTAAATATGTGAAAGAGCAGAAACTGGTTGAATTAGCAGGCTTGTTGTTGGTGGCTCATGAAAAGGTTATGCCTGGTTTAGAAGAACGTATGAAGATCCGCAATTTTGTCTTGAAAGAAGCTGCATTTCTGAATTTACAAGAAATCAGGTCCTTGTATGGCTCTGGTGATGAGAAGTCCCTACAAGAGGTGAAAAAGAAGAAGGTGGAGATGGAGGCAATACTATTATTACTTGAAGTATTTGACAGAATTGGTGATAAACTTTCGGCTTATGTTCAGATAGTGCGAAAACTGGTATTGACTAGTTTTACCTCTTCAAGGATTGAGGTGGTCACTAGTTTAAACTAAATCCTAATAGTTAAACTAGAGAAGCATACAATGTCTACTCCAAGCTTCTCTTCTTTGGTTGTGTTGACATCATTATATTGTTCAACAAATTCGGTGTTATGTTCCACTTTTTGAATTTTGGATGTGAGATTCGATGCATGTGACTTGTATTTCTGTGATAGGTGAGAGAGGAATATCTCGCCAAAGAAATTGGCTGGATCTTGGAGAAAGCTGGATTTTCCATGAAGCTTGAACTTTTTGATGAAACAAGAAGGTTTTGGTGTCAAGGACTTTTTCCCTCCCCCATTCCCTTTTCTCTGAGTATCTAGTGATACTGTACCACAGTACATGGACTTATTGCAAACAGAGTTTACTTAACATGACAGAATTTAGCATGAGAAGTAAAAGGATCTGACAACTGCATTTCGGTGATAACATCATCCCCTGAAACACTTAACTTTGTACTAGAATTGCGCAGAGTAGAAAACTATGGGTTTGTTTGGATTCATTGTTTTTGGGTCTGTTTTTGAAAAACTGTTTTTCACATTCCAAATGCTACAGTAATGTGTATTTCAAAAACAACTCCAAAAACACTATATCCAAACAATATATCAAAAACAACTCCAAATACATATTTAATATGTTTATTTCAATTTGTATATTTCAATTATGTATAGGATATATATATTATATTAATTTATATTTTATTTTATATAAAATATATTTTTATATTTCTATAATATATTTATACAAATATTATGTATTATATAAATTATATATAATATAAATATGTAATTATACAAATTTATGAATATTAAATATTAAAAATTATATATTTAATATATACATAATATATATGTTTATGTATATTTATAATATACATTTATATTATGTATTATATATAATATTATACATTTATACATTTATATTAATATACATAATATTAATTATACATTTATACATGATATTAATACCTTTATACATTTATATTTATTATATTAATACACCTATACATAATATTAATATATATTTATAATATATTAATTTATACATTTATAATTTATACACATTTATAATAACATACATTTATACATTTATATTATGTATTATATATAATATAAATGCATTTATAAATACATAAATGCATTTATTTATAAATATATATATAAATGTATTATAAATACATAAATGTATATAAATATATAAATATAAAAATTATAATTTATAATTTATAATTTATACATTTAAATAATATTCACTTATAATTTATATATTTATAATAATATACATTTATATATTTATTTATAAATATATATAAATATTTATTTATAAATATATGTAAATATTTATTTATAAATATATGTCAATATTTATTTATAAATATATGTCAATATTCATTTATAAATATATATAAATATTCATTTATAAATATATATAAATATTGATTTATAAATATATGTAAATATTCATTTATAAATATATGTAAATATTTATTTATAAATATATATAAATATTCATTTATAAATATATATATAAATATTTATTTATAAATATATATAAATATTAATTTATAAATATTTATAAAGGTATTTACAAAAATATATAAATATATTTATAAATAAATATAAAATTTATAATTTATACATTTATATAATATTCATTTACACATTTATAAAAATATTTATATTATGTATTATATATAATATAATACATTTACATATATTTATATAAATATATAAATATATTTATCTATAAATATTTATAAATGTATTATAAATGCATAAATGTATATAAATATAAAAATATATACATTATAATTTATAATTTATACATTTATATGATATTCATTTATAATTTATATATTTATAAATGTATTTATATTATGTATCATATATAATATAATACATTTATATTATTTATAAATATATAAATTATTTTTATTTATAAATGTATTATAAATGCATAAATGTATATAAATATAATAATATAAAAATTGGAAATTATAATTTATACATTTATATGATATTCATTTATAATTTATACATTTATATGATATTCATTTATATGATATTCATTTATAATTTATACATTTTTATATAAATATATAAATATATTTATTTATAAATATTTATAAATGTATTATAAATGCATAAATATATATTGTTATAAAAATATAAAAATTATAAATTATAAAAATACTTGAAAATATGTTTTAAAAATACATCTAAAAATAATCCATAAAACATCTACAATAAAAGTTTTTCATATAGTTTTTGAAAAACAACCCCAAAAATAACTAATCCAAACGGACTTGTATTTGAAAAACGAAATGCTACAGTGCTGTTTTTGAAAAACAACCCCAAAAACAGCTAATCCAAACGGACCCTATAGTTATCGTTATGGTGCTCAGACAGCTGCAACTTGTTATGTTTTAGATTGAGATGCATTGTACTTAATAAAATATCTGAATGTAGCCTGGGTTGCTTGCTTAGAACTCACATTTTTATGTCAAACTCTAGCTTATTGCTTAGCTTTAATTCCTATTACTATGCCAAGGATCCAGTCTAAGTGCAATTCCAATTCCCAAGTCCAGCACTTGCATTTATGATGTTTGCTGTTTGCATTTGATTGGCTCATATTGATGTAGTCTTACTATTTAACTCTATAACTTGTTCTTGCCCTTCTCACACTGCAAAAATTTGTAGGGGAATAATTGAGCATGAGTGGTATTTACCCTTTCTAGGTGATTCTTTTGTACTTTCTCATGCAAACATGTTTTTTAAACTTATAAAGGTGAATTGGCTCAAGAATTGCCATTAACTTGTGTAATGATGCAAAATACAGGGGACACAGGTGCAGAAGACACCTTTTACATTCTTAATCGCATCAAACGTTTGGAGTCACATAAGATGGCTTTGGGTTATCGAAAAGTATGTCAGTTATGTACATCACGTCCTATATTCTTTAGTTCCGGTTGTTTTTGGCTCTACCTTAGTCTCTTGGACCATAACCTTTGTTGCATATAGCTTGTTCATTTGCATTACACTGAAACTCGAGACCATAGCACAATTCAGGCCATTACAATATTCATTTAAATTAACATCATAGAAATTTGAAGAAAATGGTAACTTGTTATGTCCTGTAGTAAACTAATACTGTCATTCAATTTCCTGCCCATATATCTGATGCTATTCTGATCTAAATCTTATAGTATGATACCTGAATAGGATTTTCTACATTGATACTGGATACATGGTCCAACTAAAGTACTTCTGCTGCTTGTCTCATTTTATAAGCTGCCTTCAATCTGTGGGACGCCTAATCAGCAAGTTGTAGCATCTTCAAGTAGCTGCTCCCAATGGTCTTCAGCTTCTGCTCTAAAATCATTTCATACATTCCATCCTGTGAGGGCCAGTGGTTGGTGTTCTGGTTCTGCTACATGGGAGAATAAAGCATGCAACTGGTTGTGGGATTTGCCATGCAAACGTCGTCTTCTTAGAGATAGCCAGGATCTCCCTTCAGCCAATAGGGTGCTAAACATGCAATACAGGAAGGTATGGGCTTGTGTTGTGGCAACTTTAAAAAGGGGAACAAGGCTCATCTGAACGATTATTGAGGTGGCCCTTATTTTTCCTCCGTATTGGTAGTATTGGTGTTATACCTGGGGCCCGTATTTCTTACGCTTGTTTAATGGAATGTTTTGAAGTATTGGAGATCTTAGCATTTGTTCAAGTAGTTCAGTGTAAACAATGACACCCTACTGTTGTATGACTATTCTGCACCTCTCTTGAAGGTTGTTAGTAGGAAGATGGCTGCCAATGACTTTGTGTTCTTGGCCCTTTCTGCTATGAAATTTATACCTTTGAGATCACTATTTCCTTGCGTTTCAGCATATTCTAGTTTCATGATATGTTGAACTGCAGGTTTGATTTTTTGTTGAGTCTGTGTCTCTTAACGTGCCTGGAATTGGTTTGGCACTTTTGTATTTGCTTCCTTAGCGATAATTGCACGGCATATATTGCTAGCTGACCGTTGTTGCTATTGAAAGGAAACGTCTTGTTGAAAATGCTCCAAGGACCATATTTCTTCTGTTTCTCGCTAAAATTGAAGACATCGCATTTGATTGCTTGGATGGTGTACGTATGCATAAGTTTGCTCGTTGTCTAAATGACTAAGAGGCTCTAAATCCCTATGGCTTGTGTTTTTGTCTCGCATCTCTTCTATAGTTTCATGCAAATATGGTGAAGCTTTAGTTCATTGGGCTTGTACTTTGTACTGCACTCGATAACTGACGAATTTTCAAAATGACTAATTTAAAGTTATCAATATACTATTCCTTTTCTCTTCTTCGAACCGATGTGAATTCAAAATGTCATCGGGTGCAAATTCTAGAGGTGATTTGCATGGGTTTTAGAGGTGACCTGGTCTGATGTGGCATTCTAAATATAAGTCGTACGAATTTTAGAGGTAGTCCCCATCTGATGTGGTACTTGGTTATTTAGATTTTAGATGTGACTTCCCATCGAGCGTGGTATTTTATCCCTCGTACTTTCCCACGTAGTCCATCAAATGTGGCACTTAATCCCTTGTAAGCCCCTCATTGAATGTGATACTTAACCTTTTGCACTCCGTCGCATAGTCGAGTGACCCCCATCGAACATGGTATTTAACCCCTTGCACTTTCTTGTATAGTCAGCCGATATCAATTCAAACTGTCATCATGTGTAAGCCCCCAATTGAATGTGATACTTAATCGCTTGCACTTCCTCGTATAGTCTAATGGCCCTCAGCAAACATGACATTTAGCCTTTTGCACTTCCTTGTATAGTTGGAGCCAATGTCAATTCAAACTGTCATCGTGTGTGAATTCTAGAAGTAATTTGCACGGGTTTAAGATGTGATATCTTCTGATGTGGCATTCTAGATATGGCTCAAATAGATTTTAAAGATAGCCCCCGTCTATTGTGGCACTTAGTCGTTTAGATTCTAGAAGTGGCTCCTTATCGAACGTGATACTTAGCCCCTTGCACTTTCTCACATAGTCCATCGAACGTGGCACTTAATTCCATGTAAACCTCCCATCGAATGTGATACTTAATCCCTTGCACTTCCTCGCATGGTCGAGTGGCCCCCATCACATAGTCGGATTTTAGAGGTGACCTCGTCTGATGTGGCATTCTAGATATGGTTCGTACAAGTTTTGCTTTTTTTTTTTGTCTAACTCATTTCCTTTTTTCTGTGTGAGTTTCGGGAATATCCCCATTCATAGGTCCGAGATCTACATCTATGAATTCAATGGTCTGGATGATCAACTTTGCAGTCAGTTGTTAGAATCAATAGGTCTTCAAGAGATGGCTTAGAACCAATAGTTCATTATCGAATGGATCTTTCCATTCTAATACTCTATCCGAGAGTTATCAGTATTTATCAAATTTGTTCCTATCTAACGGAACGCTACTGGATCAAATGACAAAGACATTGTTGAGAAAAAGATGGCTTTTCCCAGATGAAATGAAAATTGGATTCATGTAACGGGAGAAAGATTTCCCATTCCTTAGCCGGAAAGATATGTGGCTATGCTATGAAAGAGGGATTAAGTGGCCACCTAAAATTCGAGGAATTCGTTGAGAGTTAGGATAAATTCGTAGACCGGGTCGATCGATCCGTTTTAAATTTAAAATATTTCTATAGGGCCCTTTCCTATTCCTTCTATGTCGCAGCGTTAAAACCAAAAAATATTTGTTGTTTTCTCGATGTTTTCTCGCATTTTCGATAAAACCTTCTCGTAAAAGTATTTTAACGATATTTTCGGTAATATTAGTAGATGTTATTCGAACCACTCTTTTTTTTATCCATATCAGCATTTCGTATAGAGGTTATTATCTCAGCAACAGTGTCCCTACCCATGATTAAGAAGCGATTGCAATTGTTGGAAATACTAGGCCTACTAAAGGCACAAAAATAGAGGGAAAGTTAAAAGTTATCATAGAATGGGTGCCGACCATTCCCACTCGTTAATACATTGAGCCCCATAAGCATATCTTGAGTTGGTACTGAAATGGGATCCCCAATAGCTGGAGACAAAAGATTCATATGAGAAAACATAAGTAAACGAGCCTCCGCTTGGGCTTCCAAAGATAAAGGTTCATGAACAGCCATTTGATCCCCATCAAAATCTGCATTGAATCCCTTACAAACTAATGGATGTAAACAAATAGCACGCCCTTCTACTAAAACGGGTTGGAATGCCTGTATGCCTAATCTATGCAGAGTTAATAGCTACATACACACATATTACATTTTGACCTTGTTGATTGAGAATCGTATCTGTGGCTAGAGGTAGCCCCTATTTGATGTGGCATTTAGCCCTTTAGATTCTAGAGGTTACCATAACCCACTGACTTAGATTCACCTCGCACTTCCTCACATAGTCCATCGAACATGGCACTTAATTCCTTGCATGCCCTCTATCGAACATGGCATTTAGCCCATTGCATTTTCTTATATAGTCAGAATCATAATTCATTGACTCAGATTCACCTTACGCAAAGACCACGCGGGATTCGATCTAATACTATTTGTAATGCCTTGCACCAGACGAATGCACTAAAGCAATAATGATGAATTCTTTGATACTAGCAAAGGGATTTGATCCCTCAACCAATTAATCTTCCTAACCGGTTTGGCTGCTGGTTGTTTTGTGGTTCTAGTGGGTCCCATGATCCTTTTCAGCCATAAACATATTTCTTGATCCACTTTTTATTTCAAACACAGCGCATGTGTTTGGATAGTTAATTTTTTTTAAATAATATTTTGTTTATATCATAAACACATTTCTCGACCTACATTTCTATATTTGCAATCATTTTTTTATTTCACATACATCATATCATAAAAAGTATTACAATAATTATTTCATATTTGAAATAATGGTGTATTATTTAGAATATTATTTGAAATAATTACTGTAGCACTTTTTTATAATTTGATGTATATGAGATAAAAAGGTGGTTAAAAATATAAAAAAATGTGAGTTAAAAAATATATTTATAATGCAAGCGAGATATTATTTGAAAAATTTGGTATCCAAACCACTTTTGATTAAACTGATTTTACGTTAGTCATGGTAATCCATTTGTAGTGGATAAATGGCAGATACATTTTAAGTCATGTGTGCCGCAATGGAACTTCTGTCCCACACCTTATACCACTCTCTGTCCCACTTTTTATTATATTGCTATTTCTCCTTCATAAACATCATGTTTTAGTTTTTTTTTGTTTCCTTAAAATCCAATAACTATTAATTCAGTAATACACAAAATTTAACAAACTCAAAATACATAAAAAATGAGATTTTTTATGAATTTTCTGTTGTATTTTTTAATTTTCTATTATATATTACTTTTTTGAAACTGTTGTATTTATTTTTTACTGAATTAATAGTTATTGAATCTTAAGAAAACAAAAAAGAACTAAAACATGATGTTTATGAAGGAGAAATAGCAATATAATAAAAAGTGAGACAGAGTGTGGCACAGGGTGTGGGACAGACGATCCGTTGCGCATTTGTGCGGTGCGACATCCTGCCTGATTTTATATAATAATAATAATAATAATAATAATAATAATAAGGGATAATTTCAGAAACCTCCCTTGAGGTTTCTGACACTTTCACTGGCACCTCCTAAGGTTCTCAAAATTTCACTGACCTCCCTTGCTTTTGAGTTTTTGGTAACAATGCAGTCCAAATCTGATTACAATATTATTTTCATGTGTGAGAAGGAATTTTTATTCCATGGAAGCCCCTTTGCTCCTTGTATTAGTAGAAGATTGAAAGAATAATAAATTATTAGAATGATTACTAAAGTTGAGGGGGTGTAAGTACAATACAAAAAATTGTAAACACTAGATGTGCCAGGGAAAATGCTGGTTTTCATAAATCTTAAGTCAACTAGTATGTTATCTATTTAACATAACTTAAGTAACTAATTAAACTAATTAAATTACCTGCGAGTATTACTTTCACATAATTAATTTATGTTAAATACAGAATCTACTAGTTTCCCTTTTGTAAAAATATGAGTGTAATACTTTTTGAATTTTATTTACAACCATTTGTATATTTAATATAAATTAAATGATTCAGAGTAAAATGCCTATAAATAGCTAATACTTTATTCATATAATAGAAGAAACTCGTAAAGAGCTAGTAAAAAGTGGGTAATTTATTTTTTTTACTTTCACGTATTTAATTTATGTCAAATACAGAACCTAGTAGTTTCCCTTTCGTAATAATATTAGTGTAACAATTTTTGAATTTCACTTATAAACATTTATGTATTTAATATAAATTAAATGATGCAAATTAAATTGCTCATAAATAGCTAGTACTTTATCCATACAATGGAAGAAACTCGTAAAGAACTTGTATGTTTAGGAAATTTTTTTTTACTTTCAAATACTTAATTTATATTAAATACAAAACATGCTACTTTTCCTTTCGTAAAAATACTTGTGTAACGGCTTTTGAATTTATTTGCAAATATTTATGAACTTAAGATAAATTAAATGATTCAGAATAAAATGCCCATAAAACCTGGTACTTGGTTCATGTAATAGAGAAAAGCCATAAAGAGTTGGTACTTTATAGGATATTTCTTTTTTAAAAAATATTTAATTTATGTTAAATAGATAGCCTACTAATTTTTTTTTCCGTAAGAAGTTACTGTAAT